CCCAAGCAGTATATGAAGAGTTTTATAAGGAAAGGGTACCTCCATGAAACCAAAGCAACAGAGTATGTCCAATTGTCTGTGGTGCCCCTGGGCCATTTACTGGGACAGGAGCAGCCACACCCCCAGCATGCTGATCCTCTTTTTTCTTCCCAGTCCGTACCCGTTAGCTTTGTGTTACCACCCTGTCCTTGCACATTCTATCAGGGCTTGGAGTTTAATCTTCAGATATTCCTCTACAGCCTGCCATTTGCCAGGCATGGGAGTAGCCTGGAGCAAATGACTCTTTCTGTTCTCAGAGTCGAGATTTAAACTATTGAACTGCCACCCCCAACCACTCTGAATGGATGCTGGCCAGTGCAGTGTCCCTGGTGGCCTGATGGTTAAGTTTGGTAGTGGGTGGTGCTGGGGACCTGCCAGGAGTGGTCAGGTCATAGGGAAGGGTGCTCAGAGCTGTAGTCATTTATCAACTGCTAAGGCAGTAATTTAGATATTTTCACCATTATGTGGGGATCCAGGTATAGGCCCTCTGACGTCACTCTTCCTGTTCTCAAAAATGCATCCGGGGAAAGGCAGGAGATGTCTGGGCTCTGAAAGAAGGCAAGGATAGAGATTCGCTCCTGGCCACCAGTCAGGCCCTGAGCCTGTGCTCTGTCCTCAGATTTTTCTTGGCTGCTTTTCCTTCAGACTTTCCCCGGCTCCTGCTGAGTGGTTGGCAGTAGGAGACAAGTCCTTGGTCTTTCACACCCCCCACAGCTCTCTGGGTGTGTGGCTGTCACAGAGACACATCATCTAAAGAGACAGCACCAGCCTTTGCATGACAGGGCAATAGCCAAGGTGGTAGGCATCAGACATGTGAATGAGGTGCTCCTAGAATCTCCATGGCTTCCTTGAATATATGCATGACTCTTCAGATGGATAGAGTAGAGGGAGAAAGATAAGGTCTTAATGAAGAGCTGGTTTTCTTGTTTGGTTTGAGAATACCTGGTTTTTGGTCCTTACCCAAGGCTGAATATGGTTCCAAAGGAAGAGATGATTCTTTCACAGGGTCTGTGACTTGCTGTCCCCACCGCTTACTTGCTTCCCACCATACTTGGATATGGTGTCACGGCTGATGTAGGCAGGAATGGAAGGAGGTGGGATCTAGTTCTGACTCAGCCCATATGCCACAGATTGCCTAGGTTCTGGGAGGGACCTCTGGTGGCTTCTGGGCCACAATGTGCTGGCACAAGGGAGACTGAAGATTAGATGCTCCCTGCTCCAAACCTATCACCCCACCTAGGTCCTGGCTCTTGTCCTGTGAGTAGCTAGTTTTGGGGTGGGGGGGATGAAGAAAGCTGAGTCTGTGCCCACCCACGAGCACCAGATGTTCCTGTGGGGCCCACGACCCTGCCCATGTCACCTTCATGAGGACTCCCTGCCACTGACCTCACAGGGCAGGGCTGTGGCAGCCTGTTTAGTGTCACTGTTTTCATAAGCTAATGAGGGCAGAGTGTGAGCCACAGGCAACGATGCTGGGATATTAACTGTGACAGGAAGCTTGATCATAATTATCTTAACGAGGATAGGGTTAATTACAGTGGAAACTTAAAAGTTCTCTCTGTTTGAATCCACTGGAGCCGAATGCATTGTGATGGTTTGTCATTTTGATGTGACTTTGGAGAGGCACTGTGGCTCTCTCGGCAGCCGCTGCAGCTCCTAGGGGAGCCCAGGCAGAGCCCTGCGAAGGAGGTGACCGAGATGGTACCTGTGGGTGAGATCACAGCAGCTCTGACTGGCAGAGTGGGAGGCAGGCAGGCGCCTGCGAGGAGCTGCACTGTGCTGATGAGGATTCCAAGCAAGCCAGCCGCTGCCACCGAGTGTCCCCACTGGGTCCCTTCCTGCTCTTGATGGCTCCTCCAGCTGGCTTCCCCCAGCAGTGGGTGCAGCCTTGCCTGTCCCCTGCAGCTGTCCAGACCCCCACCCCAGCACCATGAACCCTGCCAGGGAAGCTGGTAAACAAACCTTTGGTGACAGTCACCCCTTTCAGCAAGACTCTGATTTTGGGGTGCATTTTACCATCCATGCACAAGGTTACAGCAGAGAATTTGTAATGCTGCCTGTCCTGTCTTCCCTGCCAGCTACCACTGCAGCCTGGTTAAACACTGGCGACCTCCGTGCGTCTTGAAAGTCTTTTCTGCCTTTCCTTATGTTTAACAGCACCTATCTATTGCAGGCATCTGGTATATAGGGATATGAACTCCCAGATTGTTGCAAATAATGTCTTTCTCCTATTTCTTCCTGGAAGACAAAAATAATTTTAAGTGAAATACAAAGCCGTCTTCCAGGTGCATGTTTATGGGCCCCTCCATGCCATCTGAACCCTATGGATCATTTCCATTTCTGTCCTCCCCTTCACCGTGGACTGTTTCCTGCCTCCTCTCCCCCTCCATCCCTTAGCTATGCACTGAGCTGGTGACATCCTGCATTGATAGCATGAAAGCAGAGGTCTGTTGATTAGCAGCCCTGCCCTATGAAACACGATTCTCTTTTTACTGAGCAGTTAATAACATTACATAGCAAAACCACGCAGGTGCCAGGACTCAAGGTGGGTTTCCTTTACTCCTTTTGGAGGTCTCCTTCTGCTGTGCAGCTCTGCCCCAGAGCCTGCCCTGCAGAAAGGAGCAGTTGGCTCAGTGGGCTGTGCACTGTCGTGCCTGATTTTGTCCCTCTTCATACTGTGTCACTGTGTGTGTTGCCTCCCTGAAGCACTCTTGAAAGGGAGGTTTCTTCTGCTTGCCAGTTGCCAACTGTTCGCCATGTCTCATGATAAAAGTATAATATTTGCATAACATAACTTGGGAACAATGTGTATTTGGATGCTGCCTGTGACCAGAGCCCAGCTGATGTTTGTGCACAAAGGACTTATTAGCTGCCCATAAGGCTGCCCGATGGGAGGGAGGCGCCGCCGCTCCCCTTGTGGCCAAGGGGCCTGGGCCTGAGAAATGTTTTTGGTTAGTGAGCACCATTCATTGACCCCCCACAGTGGAAGGGATTGGAGGAGAATGTGACCACCCCCTGCATCCTCCACATATCCCCAAGATCAGGGGCAGGGGATAGAGAGGCAGCATAGGGTAGTTGATAAAGGCAAGGAGGGAGGCAAAGGAAAAACCAGCACTGGCTTGCAATTGGTTGGTCCTCTGAGTCTCTGAGACCCTGCCAACTGGGAGGATCACAGATCGGTGTCAGGGTGCCCCAGTTCACACTACAAGATGGTAGAGCAGAGGGAAAGGCCCACACTGCGCTGCCTAGATGTGTGTAAGTTGTGTTAAGGCTTCCCAGAACTGTGAAGAAGCAGCAAAGGGAGGCGACAAGGGGCAGGTGAAATATCATCAGCCTTCATCCAGAATATGGACAGCGAGGCTCTTGCACTGGGGCCAGGCAGTGGTGGCTGTGGAGCAGGCGTGCTGAGAAGCTGCGTCCTGTGTGGGGCTGTCCTAAAGTCTGCAGAAATTGGCAGGTGGGCAGGGCTGTGGGCCCAGGGAATCTGCAGACTTAACCACTCCCACTGCAATTTACACCTCGCAGGTGCAGGCTCCCTCCCATGCAGGCCTATTGGGAGGGGTCCCACCAGCAGCTCTAGGTGCCTCGGGAAACTCCAGTGCCGAAGCCCCCCACCATACACATATTGCACACGCAAGCACACGGTACCGCAATGGAGGTGTTCCTATTAAATGACTAAAGAGTGCTGGAGACATCTTCTTGATTTGTCACATTCTGTAGAATAGCCAGGGAGCCCACGCGAGCCTTCCCTCCCTCCAGTAATGTCGTAGCTCAGCTGTCGGCCTGTGCAAGCTCAGCACATCTCGTGAGCCTGGCAGGTGAATGAGCTGGGAGTGAGTGTGTTTGTGCACGTCCCCGGACCAGGCAGCTTGCTTTAATTAATGTCTGTGTGTGCCTGGGCAAGCCATTGTGCACCACGGCCCTGTGTTTCTGTCTCGTGAGAGCCTGAGTGTTAACTTCCAGCTATGTGTATAAACAACACCATTTCCCCCCTTTTCTGATGTATTTTTTTCCCCTAAGCTGGGTACTTAATCCTCTCCAATGCCTTTCTTATTTACTGTCTCAACATCTACATTGCTACATTCTATAGGCTTTTTTTTTTCCTTTTCAAGCCTAAAGTGAGAAATCTACGTTCCATAAATTAAAACAGTAACTTCAGGCCAGGAGCTTTGAAGCCGACATTCTCCCCACTGTCTTCCCCTCTTAAAAGAAAACTAAAAACAAATAAAAAGAAATAATGAAAGGGAAAGAAGCAAGCTCTCTCGCTGGCTGGGGTGATTATGTAATCCTGCACATGCCTTGCCTGTTGGGCAGCCACAGAGACACAGGGCAGAGGGAAATTAAGTGATTATTAAAGAAAAAAAAGAAGAAGAAGAAAGACAGAGTGAGTGAAAGAAAAAAGTCCCAGGATGTGAAAGGAGAGAAAAGAAGCTTTCCTGGCTGTTTCCCCTCCGACCGTACAGAGGAGAACGGCTAAGAAATGATACTTGAAGTTATATTTATTATTGTAAGAGGGGTATGATATTTCTAGGCAGGAATGATGGATGACAACTTAAATTTGTGTCCAGGGAATGAAGGTGAAGTGTGACAGAGTTATTTATCTTGGGAATGGAGGTTAGGGTCAGCAGAGGCTGGGTGCCTGAAGGCACAAGACATTGACAAATTTATCCTGCAGGCCGTATCTGAAGCCCTTTGTTTTGGATCCTGGCTACTCACTAAGTGACCCTCATCCTTCATGTTGGCAATGCGTGAAGGATGCGGTGAGTGCCAGAGGCCCCTTCTCCCCCGCCGCCCCCCACCCCCGGCTCCCGCTACTAATTCTTGTCATTCACTTTGCTGACAGGCACCAAGCCCAAACTATTCCCAGTCCTGAAAGGGAAGGTTAAAATATTTATTTCGGCTCATAATGGCCTCCCTGATTTAGTGCAGGATCATTTTTCCTGTTGCTTTTGTCACTGCAGGTCACTGGAAGGACTGAGCGCTTTCGGGAGCCTGGAGGAACTCATCTTGGACAACAATTTGCTCGGGGACGACCTCACGTTGCCAGGGTTACCCCAGCTCCACACCTTAACCCTCAACAAGAACCAAATATCCTTTCCTTGGCTCATCGTTCCCCCCTTCCCTGCAGCCCCCACTCCCTGCTCAACCCCGCAGTGTCCCCTCCTGCCACCCCCACCCCGCCCCACACAAATACCTGCAAAACGTCAAATGAGTTTTATGTGTCAGCTAAATTAAAGTATGTGAAATACAGGCCGTGGGCAGACAAAGCGTTCTGTCTTCTGGCACTTGGGACACTTCAGAGTAATTTATTATAGGTCATTCATAAATGAAATGCACCATTATATCTTCCTGTTGCTCCATTTTAGTGTAGAGATCTAAGTTATGGCTGAAAGAAATCTTTTTAATAGATAAAAATAGAGAAAGAAAATAATGTCACTGCTACCGGGGAGGCAAAGCCGGGCCTGTTTTCTTGGGCTTGTGTGGGAGGGTGACCTCTGGTGGGAAGAAAGGGGTAATGCCTGCCGCTAAGAGAGCTTGGCCTTCCTGGAGGTTTCTGGAAGGAGGCACAGGAGAGAGCTGGAGTGCAGAAGCGCGAAGGCTGCGGAGCAGCGGACCAGTGGAACCAAGCTAGGCTACAGCTTCCCATAAGTAGATGAGAGCTTGGCCAGCCGGGGACACTGGATTCTGTCGCAGGAGTGGAGTCAGCCCAGGACTCTTGCATGGTTAGGTGTGGATTGCCAAGCTCTAGAAGGCCAGTTCTGTGAGGCAGGGGTTGCTCTCAATCCTTTGTACACACATGGCCTGGCACAGCACACAGGGCACAGGTACGTGCAACTTTGTAGGATGCACGAATGAATCATCCTCTTTAGCTTTCATTACTGCACCCTTGTTAGGCATCAGCATGCTGCGTGCTTGAAGTATTGTAGTTTGCATTCTTAGCAAGCCTAGGAGAAGGGTGTGGTTTCTCTGCCACTTACCCAGGGGAAGAGGAGAGTGTAGTCCTACTGCAGTGAATAAGGTCAGAGACCCCAGCCTGAGTCCCACCGGTGGGGGCAGCCAAAGTGCCTTCCATTCCATTGTGTGGTTCAGGCTTGAGGTCCAGTTGCTTTGTCATTGCTGGAACACTTCGGATGTGGCGTGATTAATCATTTTTTCACACCCATATATTAGAAATGGAAAGGGAACCAGGACATGTTCTCCTAGATGATAGATAAAGCAGATATACCTGTTAAATTTAATGTATATGTTTATATATACATTAAATTATAACGTATAATGTATATTTAAGAATGATTTTAACAGTTTTTTGTCATTATTTATACTTCAAGCCATAAATTAATATTGCCTGTATTCTATATTGTATTGGTTAACTCTTGCTATATGACAGAAAGCCACAGACTGGGAAACATATTCTTCTTAGTCTGCAAGATGGTGGTCTGAGTTCAAGGGCCAGCACAGTTGGGTTCTTGGTGATGGCTTTTTCATGTTGTATATTCACATGGTAGAAAGAGTTCTCTAATGTTTCTTATGGCACTAATTCCATCATGTGGGCCCCACCCTTATGATCTAATAACTTCTGAAAGATTTAGTGTTTCAACAAATAAATTTTGGGGCATTCAGACCTTATAATTATGCCTCTTGTGGCCATTAAAAATGGACCCTTGAATAAAAATAGAAGATGAAGGCTTATAAGCAAATTCACAGCCTGTGTCATAATGGAATTTTTGTGGATTTTTTTCCTCTTCTGTCTTTGATTCACCAAGTTTCCTAGACACTGAAGACATGTAGTCAGTGTACCCTGTGGTTTTCTAGCGTCATAGGTAAAAGTTAGGCACTATTCTCAAACTAGTCAAGGACAAAAGGACTATTAGACTGGAATTTAATTCCTCACTTGGGCTCCAGTGCTCACGTCCTGTGTCCCAAGTCATTGTACAATATTAGAATTCGTGGATTGGGTTCCTGCATCAGCTTACTCATGTTTAGCTGTGCAACCATGGATAAGTCATCTGAGAGCCCTTGTTCCTTATTTTTTAAAGAAATAAGTTGGGTTGGATGATTTTTTTTTTCTGTCAATATCACTAACAACAGAGCTGAGTAGGCCTCTTGGATCCAGAGCACTGAGAAATTGTCTTTGCCTTTGGTTGAGTCCATTCCCTACTCCACAGCTCAACTTTTTTATCTATAAACATGGGTAATGCTTAGAAGGCAACAGTGCTAATGGCCAAGAAAGGGTAAAGCACAGGCACTGTGGAGCTGTAAACCTGACCACCTATGTCTCAGTGGTGTTAAAGTGAACTTTATTATTTGTAGGTGTAGAAGGTATGGGTTGGCTCTGTTGGGGTGCAACATGACGTCTTTCTCTTTTACTTCCTCATTGTACTAATCTGATCATGAAGATTAGCTTCCAAATAAATCTACTTGATCTAGAAGTCACTGAATGAGAGGTAAATAAAAGCAGGCAATAGTACCTATTGTCCTATCAGCCTAATACTGACCGGTAATAAACTCCATCTTGTGAACCCTCTCTTTCTCCTGCCTTTCTATGAAAATGCCATGATGCTAAAATAATTACCAAGTTCTGTATTCCTGTTGCTGCCCTGTGAAATGTCTTGGATATAGGCTGTCTTAGTTAGCTTTTGCTGCCTGATAGTCCATCCCAAAACACTGTGGCTTAAAACAATAAATACTTTATTTGTTTATGGTTCTGTGGGTGCATTCATTGGCCAGACATCAGCTCTTCTGCTGGTCTTACCTTGGGTTGCTCAGGTGGCCACAGTTGCCTGAGGCTTGGCTGGAGCTGGATGGGCCAAGATGGCTTCACCTATGTGTCTGGAGGTGGTTACTGATTGTTGGCTGAGCTATACATCTCCAGCAGGCTACATAAGCCATATCCTGACAGAGGAGTACTCTGGGAGCTCAAGTCCCCATGTACAAGTATTTTGCAAGTCCTACTTGTATTGTGAAAACAAGCCACATATCAAATGTAGAGCACATCACGGGAGGAAACCACACCAAGTGTGGATGTAAAGAGGCACAATTCAATCCTATGGCACAGGCCATGTCATCTCATCTCAAGATTTCACTTTATTTTTGTTATCAATGGAAACTGAGAATAAAGTAGCTAAAAAGGTATTAACTCTTTCTTTTAAGATGAACCTTTGTATGTATTAAAAAATTTGCTAATGACTTTTTTTTATAAAACAAGTTCTTTGTGGAGTTTGTTTTCTTTTTTAATTCTTTGGTCTTGGCATCTGCCTTGGCCCCTGCCTCATTTATCTGCCTTGTAAATCTCGATTTTTCCATTTTGGTTTTACCCACAGTTAGGTATGTCTGTTCCTGTGCAGATTCTGTGAACATGGGATATTGGCTTCTTTTATTCTTCTGCAAGAGGAAATATCACATAGTGGTTTAGAACAAGTTCTGAGGCCAGATTCCCTGGGTGCAGGCTGTCGCTTGCTGCACGACTTTGGACGAGTTATTTCACATCTCTGTGTTTTCATTTCCTCTGCAAATTTGGACAATAATAGTACTTACCCCAGAGGGAGTTTTGAGGGATAATCTAAACAGCTCACCAATATGAGGTTCCAATAACACGGAGAGTCAGTGTTAGTGTTAGCACAGTTTTGTTATTACTATCCTCGAACACTATGGAAACGTATCTGATGTGACTTGGCTGAACTATAATAATTTTTATAGTTTAATATTACCCTCCCATCCTTCTCTGAGTTCGGTAACATTGATGAATATTTCTTCTCATTTTTTTTACAAAAAAGCTACCAACGTATCAGCTTTGAGAAGTCATGTAGGTTGTCAGTGGTGAGTCTAGAACCCAGCTATGCCGACTTGCAGCCCCAGACTTGGAAACTTCTCCAAAGGAGAGACCTTACCACACAGGAGAGAGACTAAGATGTGGGAGTGGTCAGTTGCCTGTGTCTGCCCCGGCGTGGCCGTGCTCTCAGCTCAGGCCCAGGGAGCCCGCTCAGGAAAGAGATTCCAGAGTCCAAACTGAGCAGCATCTGGCAGATTTCTTTTGAATTTACCAAGCAACACCTCCCCTCCCATCTGCATGCCTCCTGCTTGACCTCTCATCTTTGTTCTACCAGCCTTTATTTCTGCTTGTGTTCATCTCTCAGCTTGGCTGGAATATCTGAAAACTCAGTTGTCTCAGATGAACTCTTCATCCCTTACCTTGTGGCTAGCTCTCCCTTCATCTTCTGGTTCCTTTAGAGTGGCTGGGTAGTCACTAGCCATAGACTTACCTCCCACCCCCATATTCTCATTCTTTCACCCCCCATAACCATGCTTACACGAAGAAGGGACATTTGGTAATAGACTCCACAGTATTAAGTCTGAATACTCAATTGTAAGTATTAGACCGACTACAGAAACTTCTAGAAAATGTGGCTATTTACTCTTTGTACAATCAAATGATTCTCCTCCACCTTCCCTTTAGGGGATAAGCTAACTTCATTTGAAATCACCATTTATTTGTTTCTGTCTCCCTGTTTGCAATGACTTTGAACCATAATATTAACAGGAAGAATAGTGTATGTTGCCTGGTACGCTGGTGACCACAGCACAGAGTTAGGAACTGAGCCTGAGCTCTGACAGCAGTTTACTCTTGTCTTGAGGAAGTCTCTGTGCCTTGTCAAGGTCCTCGGTTTCTTTATAAAATGTGTAATATAACATCACCACTTCAGAGTATTGCAGAGATTTACATGGTGTAACTCATAGGAAATAATTTTGTTAACATAAAACACTTCACTATTTCTTTGCACATTTGACTGTTAGCTAAAACCTTGATGCTTTAAAAAATAGGCCCAAATTGGAAGTATCTGAAGTACAGAGCACAGCTGGTTGACAAAACAGTTTGGTCTCTTCCAGAAATTTTAAGACTTCTTCAGCTTGAGTGTTTGAACTCTCTCCCCTTTAGTGTTAGGAAATTTGGAGTGATTTTATCCCACAGTATTGCAGTTTCTTAGGACCTAGATTTCAAGACTTGCCATCTATTGGCTATGTGACCTTTAACCTGTTTCCTTCATTATTGCTTGGACATGGTAATATTTCTGACATGTATATAAATCAAAGTGAG